GTGGGCAATATTCATCGATACAAAGCACGGTTGTGTGCGAGAGGATTTCTTTAAGAAAAGGGTCTTGATTATACAGAGACGTTCTCTCCAGTCATAAGATACGACTCCCTGAGAGTTCTAACCGCCCTAGTAGCAGTACATAATTTGGAGATGATCCAGTTCGATGTCAAGACGGGGTTATTCTACGGTGAGCTCAAAGAAGAAATTTTCATGGAGGTTCCAGAAGGATCAACGGGCTCCTGTGACAGTGATACAGTGTGTAAATTACAAAAGTCATTGTATGGGTTAAAACAAGCTCCAAGGTGTTGAAACGAGACCTTTTGTAAATTTTTAAAACAATTTCGATTCAAATCTAGTGAAGCTGACAGTTGTATTTTTCGGGATGTTGTCAATGATAATGTTGTTTGGTTAGCGCTATTCGTAGATGATGGTTTGATAGTATCTAAGAGTGAGTCAGCCTTGAGTGTTGTGATTGAACCGCTTCGACAGTCATTTGAAATCACACTAGGTGATACAAAATGATTTGCTGGTTTACAAGTCGAGCGAAATCGGGAAAAATACAGTGTACTTATTCATCAGAATGCCTATGTAAAAAGGATAATAGAGAAATTTGGTATAAGAGATGCTGAGAGTGTGCCGGCAGACCCGAATGTAATTTTAATGCCAGTTGATGCTGACGAAAAAAATTCATAGCAATGTACCGTACCACGAAGCGGTTGGTTCTTTGATGTTCCTGGCGACTGTATCACGCCCGGACATAGCGTACTCTGTAAATGCAATATCTAATATGTACGAGTGAGCTAGGAATAAAGTATAGTATAGGAAAAGGCGATACACAACTAAAGGAGTTTACTGATGCCGATTACGCAGAGGATATAGAGACTCGAAGGTCAACTACGGGCTACGTTTTTGTGTTAGCAAATGGTGCAATGACTTGTTCATTGCAAAGGTAGAAACATGTGACGTTGAGTACCACTGAAGCAGAATACGTTGGAGCAGCAGCAGGCGCTAAGGAAGCAGTGTGACATAGAAGGTTACTCAGAGATCTCACGTGTCAGTGTAAAAAAACAACGAGCTTGTTTATAGACAATCAGAGCTCTATGAAATTAGTGAAAAACCCAGTGTATCACAAGCGTACGAAACACGTAGATGTGAAATATCACCACATAAGAGAAAAGATTGAGAATAAAAAAATCTCAGTAGAATATGTTCCTACGAAGCTGCAGTATGCATTTATCTTAACAAAGTCCGTATCTCGAGATCAGTTTGAATGCTTGCAGAATAATATTGGTATAAGCGAATTATCGTTGGAGTACTCAAACGGCGGAAGTGTTGATATTTGAGTTTTCGAACGCTAAGTAACTGTCAAATTCAAATGTAAAGTAATTCGAAGAGGGGCGAAGCTCATCAATATTCTGTATGAGTGTATGAGTGATAAGTTCGTCCTTAGAGTAATTCAACAGTTTTGTAATAAAGGAGTCTGAAAGATATAGTCGGTTTGTAAACAAGAAAGCTGTTGGTCAGCTATCATTCTATTTAGTAACTGTACTTTTCACTTTCTATTAATCAATATATTCCACTTGTTAATGTTACGTGTGTACTCTAAATTTTATTAAACGCCTTATTTAACTATTCCTCCGCCTTCCACATTAACCTTAACAATGTACAGCAAAGTTTCATATCTTTATGTGAAGAGTATGGAACAATTTTAAAAAAATTTGCTTAAAAACCGACGGTAAAGTAGCTTTATCGAACTGCTTAGTAAATTTTACCTACACATTATAGTAAATTTTTCAACAAATTTTCTAAGTATAGTATCAACTTTTTTCCATTTTTGTATAACTCATTGTATAGTCAACTTACTTCTATGAAGCATTTTTGCAATTTTTTTATAACTATTGCCTCCTATGTGAAGCGAAATAGTTTTAAATTTTTTATCACTAGAAAGTTCTTTGGTTTTCGCCATTATAAGTATACTTACCTGTAAAACTGTGAATAAAACTGTGTGATTGTCGACGTGTCGCAACGTGCATTGCTTTGTGTAAAGCATCGTGATCGGCAGCTCATGTCGAAGATAAGGTGGTGGAGGGCGTACGAATACTTGGTGCGCGGAGAGAAGTGCAAAATAAAAATTATAGTCCAGCACTATAAACTGGGCGCATTTTTGTCAATTTAGTGATTTTTATAAAGATTTAAAAGAAAAATTATAAGTTTCACTAGAAATATTGTAGTTTAGTTAATAATTTTTATTATTCAGCACGGTAATTTTTTTTTGAACAACGAATAATTGATAGAATTTTGAAGATAAATTAGAGGATAAAACATACATTTTATTTGTTGTCCTAGAATTTTTCTATTGCTGCACGGTAAAATCACTTTCTCTCTCAATCCAAGTACACAGGCGATTAAAGGCCCATATTTTACAATTAAAATTAAATTATTAATAATCGGCAGAAAGTTCCGTGAGTCGATACTTTTTTCTTGAAATGAATTGGCGAATCTAATTCAATTGTTTGATTTACAATATCTATAGAATTGATAGATATATTGCAGAAAGCTTGAAACATTAGAGGTCAGGTTACTGAAATTTACCGTGCCGCACGGTAATTTTTCCCGGAGTTTTCAATATTTTCTATTGGATTTTTTTCTCTGTGGGGTGTTAAACTTTTACATATTCATGTTTTTTTTTTCTCTTTTTTATAGCCAACCGGTAAATAAATACTAATGTGTAGTACAAATACTAATGATGTACTATATTTCACAAATGTTAAGTTTTATTAAATGTTGACATTCATGAAAATATAATAGCATTTGCTATCGTACAAATACTTTGTGAGGTGACTGAATATATCTACAATTATAAATTTAAAGAAAAATTCTCGAATGGTGCATAAACCCCCGAAAATGTATAAAAGTGTATAGAGTTTGCCAAAAATATATACACACATATATATTTAAACAAACCTAATTAGGTTATTCTCAGGTAATTTTAACCGATCAGAGCCTGACTTCAAACACTTTCGATTAATTTGTATCAAAATTCATCCAATTAAACTTCAAACTTATCATCACATTTCTCTTTTAAATTTCAAAGCTAATATTTTTTGATAAAGACTAACATTAAATTTAAGCATTCTATGTCAATCTCAACAAAAGACATATCTCGACAAGACCCAGTCGACAGTTGGATTTTCTTGACCCAATTTCAATCAGGGACCTTTTAAAAATTTATGAAAATTTATTACTTCTCTACATTATTTTACTAAAATTGGTTCTTAACTATATTTCAAGAGAATCTCTTGCTTACCAATAGAATAAAAAAAATTTTTCTTGCAATTAGTCCAGAAATCTAATGAGTAGGTTTGTTTAGCGCACTGTTTTGGAAGATGTCTTAGAATGTCCCGCCTTCCCCTGCACTTAGCCACAGGGCCTTTGTGCAGGGTCTGTTTGCACAGTAAAGGCGGTCGTCTTATGTCTTAGGCCTGCAGGTTCCCTAGGTTCCCAAGTTGCCTTGGTTCCCTTCTGAGCCCCGAAACAGTCCCTGTCGATTTCCAATATATATATATATTATGGTGGTACGAAAGAACGTTATTTCTGCCTTTGGAGATTCCGCTAAGCCCCATGGGTCCCTCGGTTTCCTCAGCCTTAGGTAGGCAAGATCTATAGGCCTGGTGTCAACCTAAGAGGTCGTCCCAGTTCCACAAGAAATCGTCCTACCCTCGGAGATTCTACCGGTTACCTCAAGGGTCCTGGTTTCAGACTCAGCATCAGCAAGGCTGTACTACAATGGGGTGTCGCCTGGTTCCCCAAGGGCATCGTGGCGGCAATAGCACTTTTTGTACTATTCAGTCATCAGCACGATAGCTTACGCCCTTGACTGCCCTCTGAGAGGCCTCCCGCTCATCGTGGTCAGAGAAAAGACTATATTATAAATGGGTCTTGTCTCAGCCGGGAATCGAACCCGCTACCCATAGTGCGCTAGGCTGGCACCTTACCACTTAGGCCACGATGTCGGTTTAGCGCACTGTTACTATCTTATTATATCTTCATGAATTTCGTTATGATAATCAATTGAAAATTTTGACAATCGATCATATGAGAAAAATTTTAAAGATGATGTCAGGTGAAGTTCTTCGATTAGAAATACAATCGACATACGATATAGCATCAATATATGAAAATAAAATAAAGAAGTCACAAAAATCAATAAATATAGAATTTGCTTCGTATTGATATAACTACAAGTAACGACTTTTTTCCGACGAAATTAACTCGTATTTCTTTTTCCCTTTCAGATTAATTATGGACGTTAATATTAATAATAACAAAAATTTTTTTAATATTTTTATTTGTTTATACATTGAATTAACTTATTTAATCATGTATTGAATCTAATTTATCAAATCTAACGATGAGACAAATGTTTTTAAAATTTTCTGTTAAAAAAAAATTCACAACAACATATATGATCTTTACTTAGTAGGCCCCTTACTCGAAAGTAGATCCAATCTATAAACATTTGTTTTTCCGAAACCAATTATCAAGGCATTATTTACGGGAAAATAGACGTTTATACAAAGCAATTATAAAAGAATGAGTTTTTATAGCGAATTCAATATTGTGTTTAAAAATACGAACATACTATTAAACGTACCATTATTGCATGTTTAATTGTCCTATCAACCTGAATTTTTTCTATCTTCTTGTTATTGTATGTTAATCTAAAGCTATTGCTTGTTTGATGTTGAATGTTATGCTTGAGCTTTTATGTTTGTCTTACTAAGGAAACAAAAAACAATTTCAGAGAAGGCTTTTACTGGATATTATATATCTTCATTTAATATTAAGACTTAGCAAAAACTTTTTAGTAAAATGAAGAAACTTAATTTTACATTATTTTCATACTGATAAAAAAAATAAATTTTGCAAATCAACCTTGCTAAGTCTCATGTAATTCATGAGGCTTCTTGTGTTAAATTAAAATTTGTGGGGATTCTTAGCAGCCGCAAGGGAGCAGTGATAACCAGAAAATGATTGTCCATATGATTTTACGGAAATCTGCTGGTTCTGGAGGCATTTTAGGGTTAAAAGTAACTGGAGGACAACTTCTTGAAGATGGTAGAATAGGATCAGTTATTGAGAAGGTTAAGGAAGGAACACCAGCTGCAATTGATGGTCGTCTGAGGCCAGGTTGGTATTGCACAAGAATCGGAAATCAATTATCTTTTAAAAGTATCATTTTTTAATTTATTGTGTTATGTAAAGAACATTTTTCGTTTCACATATCAATTGGTAACAGTGTATTGATTCAAATTTAATTAATTTTTTATTTTAATTCTGAAATTTTAAATGACAGATACATTATGTTATGGAATTTTTTCAAAAATTCATTTGAAATATTCGTATTTAATAGAAAATAGAATTCACAATCCAACAGTTTTCTACATTTCTACAATAAGTAGTATGAATACCAACAAAGTTTTGCATCTTAAAGTTAATAAGATGGTGTATGCGATATTGATGATTTTTTTCGATGATCTGATTAGTTTGTTACAAAAAAAACAATACTATGATCATATAGCATGGTATACTACAGTTATTTATCGTAGGATATGAATGAATAAATAACTGTTTGATGAATAATTTAAAAATTTTTTCATAAATGATAGCAACGCTTGTGCCAAGTGCACGCAATCAAGATGGTTGGAGTAATTAAGCAGACGATAAATTTTAGAAATTATAACTCCTGAAGTAATTTGATAATCTTACTACACTAAAAAAGAGATTAATTAAATCAATTAATAATGAATTAGTTCAACCACAATTTCCAACTAAATATAGCAAACGACTGTTCCTAGGTAATTTCACTAAAAAAATTAGTTAATACCTAATCATCAAAATACTTAAAATAAATAACTTTTTAATTCCATGAACTAAAGTCATAGTTAATTTAACATTAATAAGACATGTATAGTAACTTACTCTCTAATTTTATACGGAGCTAAAAAAAAATCTAATGATTTTTTGAAAAAATTTTGATACAAATAATTCATTTACAAAATGACAAACTACGATGACTGAATAATAGAAACTCTGCTCACATTGTTCCATATGAGCTACTACACTGTCGTCTCTACATACCCTTCTCATTTGCCGATATTATTATCCATTTTTTTTAATAACTTGTGTAGATGTGCCGAAAGGAGATGAAAAAATCCAAGTTTTTCTTTTCTTTTTTCAATAATCGAGTTTTTCTTCTTACTGATCCATAAATAAAGTATCTTTCTATTTAATCTAACTAAAAACGGAACCTATTACATTCTTTTATTGAGACTGGGCTGAAAGAACAGAGCCATCTTATTCTCCCTATCCAAATACATAACTTCGAGACGTTCCTAATTTCTTCGACAATTCATAATTTTTTCTATAAATTCATTTCGTTTACTAATTTATATACAAGCTGTCGTCACTAACGTTTCGAACGTCTGAAACATCAGCTAAATACATTTTTTTTTTTTATCAAGAAATAATATAGCCAAGCCGAAAGTGAGGGTGGTAAACACGTGGTTGAAGCTAGTTCAATTATTCTCCTTAGGACTGAATATGATTTTTCGCCATATCTGCGTGGAAAGTTCAACCATTTTCTAATGGAAAAGTAAACTTATCACACAGGTATAACTAAAAATTATTATATTCTGTCGCAGAACTACCTTCATAATACTCAGAAAAGAATTCAGTGGTATTTCCAAGCGGACTTTCATTCAAATCCTACATAGGAGAAACGTTGCCCGACGTTGTACGATCGCACAGATAGAAAATTTGTGTTAAAATAAACACATTTCACATGTACAAAAAGGGTCCACTTGTTTTTTTGTATCGGTTAAACACAATGTGTATGTTCAGTCAAGAGACTGAATGTTTTCCTTGGGAACGTGACTTTTGATCCCAATTACATGGTGGCCTGTCGGATTTGTTTGCATACTAAATGCTAATTCGAATTAAAGATGTAAACATTAAATTATATCCCACGTCTTTGAATTTCCAATATCTGTCTTACTTTTAAAATGGATTCTGGTATCAATAGGAGTTATATAATCAATTCCGTTAATCGTAGAAATAAGTAATTTTCCATTTGATATTATGTTTTTTTGCTCAAGTAACGTTCCACGAAATGCTCTTCATGTTATTTTCACTCTCCAGTAATGAAGTTTCAAAAACATGAAGTATCTCTCGTCGGTAAGTCAGAGAAAAACCTTGAGCAAGTACAAAAATTTTTCAATAGGTAGCAGTGATAGTCTCTTTTTGAGCAACAAAGGACGCTTTGCAAGCTAATTAACTATATAGGCTGAGGTTCGGCATTGTACCCCTTACCTTTATATACTTTCAATTAAAAACAAACAATAAAGTACACATAACGTCAATGAAGTAATATTAACCCGTAAAAGGGATGAAGTTGCCCCTTAAAGGGATATTGTGAACTTTGATTTCGCTTCACTTCAAACAAAGGCACATAATTTACAGAATAATTTAAAATCATCCGGCTCATCTACGTTTGACCAGCTTGAGAAAATAATCGAGATTAAATGAAAAATTATAGTATTTTTCCATGTCATTACTCTGATGATAGTCTTATGGTTCTTATGGACTCAATCCTTCGACACCATAGGAATCCTCTTGATGAATGAAAAAATGAAGGGCAAAAGTACTTTGCGATGAAGGCACTTTATAATCCACAATGAATAAAAATTCAAACAATAACATTGAGATTTGCATAAGTTTATAAAAACAAATAAATATAAATATTTTTACCGGCAAGAAAACACGTTACATGAGCCATTTAGATCTTAAAAATTATACATATATGATACATTTACTCCATAGATATACTGAAAAAGACACGACTTTCGATTATCTTTGCGATAAAAAAAAATTCATTGACTATTAACCAATTAAAACGTCTAATTTGAATTTAAAATTTTCTAATGTTTTAGTTTCTTCTTACAAAAGCGGCAATTTGAAAATTTCGAAAGTATTGATATTAGTACAAATGTATCTATACACCATATCGATGGCTTGATAAAAATCAATTTAAAAAATCGATCACCGGGGGTGAATGTCGATTTAACTTAGTGTCAATTTTGTATTGTGAAACCCTAAGTGACAGGCACACGACCACAGTTGAGCACAATTTCGCACCCACAGACTCAAAGTTGTCCTCTCTAAACTACTCACATCATTTAGACTGATAATTGTAGTTTGTTCGTAATGAACTGATGGAGACGTCTCATAATTATTGTTACTGATGAACTTGAAATTTCTACATAAACTCAAGATTTGTCTGGAGCTAATTGATACCACAAATGCTTGAACACGTGCTTGTTAGCGTCATTATAGCCGTAAAGTTGTCTGCTGGGCTACGAGAGCAAGAGTTCTCTCTAATTGGTCCAGTGAGTTGACTAAAGCACCGGTGGACAATTTCGGTATAGAGAAATTTGGAATATTCTCGACTAACTGATTTAGGGCCAATAATAACAGACTGAAACTGTTAACTTCTTGAAAACTTCTTTCAACTCTTGAAAAATGTTAACTTCTTCTGCTAATTGTATATTTCTTGGTAAATCAAATGACAGAATATTATGATCAACTAGAACTATAGTACACCCAAACGCATAAATGGTTCATACCTTAAGAGCCAGACCTATTCCTTCCGGGTAATTACTGGCAGACGAGATTTTTTTTAAGTAAAACTTCTTTACACACGCTCGACTTGGGAAGTAAGCTAGTAAATACTTGACGAAAGCGTTACAAAAAGTGTGATCTGAGAAGGTGAGCAAAAGTTTAGAGAGACATAGAAGTTAAAGGGATCTATGCAATATATTCGAGTCCTGCTAGCGACAAGTCCAGCATCAGACACTTTTTGAATATTCTAAGACTAACTGTGGGCCCTCCAAGTCAAAACAATATGGAAGGATAATATGTAACAATTATAAAGACATTTGCATATAAAGATGCGTTGATGATGTCACACAAAATTTTTCGTGTATAGAGTAGTTGGTAGCCTCGGTGTTCATAGGAGAAAGAGCGCGCTTGTGAGAAAAAGAGGTTAGATTAGATAATGGTTCTATTGTATAGAAAGTTTAACAGATATATACATGAAATAGATAAGGAAAGAGCGCAAAGATAAAAGAATTAATCCCTTAAGATTAAGACAGTGAAAAGAAAAAATCAGATCAACAAGTAAAGTATATTCAACTAATAAGGCAAGCTGCAAAGCCAGAAAGGAGCATGGGAACAGCCATGCAGCCTTTCTGGTCAATGAGCTATGCACGAAGTGAAGCTTTAAATGAAGAGACAGAAGTAGCACGTTTAATATCATCAGTGCCAATTCCCTGCAGCACAAACAAGCAATAGTGAATGTGGAGCATAATCAGAATGTTAACTAATTTTTTGTCTGAAATGTTGATCCGCATAGCATTGAATAGCATAGAGCTGATAAGAGCCGTGGTTAATTTTCTGTATGATATGACGTACATGATGTTCAAACGTCAACTTAGAATCAAAGATAACCTTAAGGTTGCGTTGAGTGCTGACAAAAAAAAGAAAGTGATCCCCCAGCCCCAGAGATGGCAGAGATCTAAGATCAATGTCATTGATAAACCCTCGAGCACCAAGAAGTATAGCTTTGGCCTTGCCAATATTTAGAAGAAATCGACAGTTAAGGAGATCAGCTGGCTTGAAACCACGATAAATCTGGAGATCATCAGCATCGAGTAGATAAAAACCTTTACTTATGCAGCTACTTATATGTATGATAAAAATAGAAAAAAGTAATGGACTAAGAACAGAGCCTGGCGGGACCCCGCAGCTGGTCAGACACCGGGATGTTACTGTTTCATCTAGGCTGTTTATGTGCTGTAATTAGGTCGAAAGCCACACTCAAGTGGATCAAGGATGCTGTTTGCTCAGCAGATAGAGAGATAACTGATCAAACACAAGTTGCTCCAGAACCTTGTTTAGGAATGGTAGAAGTGCAATGGGGTGAAAGTCACCAGGAGATTTAGGGCTCTTGATTTCGTTGATTGATACTATCAAGGCTCCCTTCCAGATAGCAGAGAAGGTATATTCTCTCAATGAAGTATTAAAGAGTTCAGTAACTCGTGCACATAAAGAGCAACACCTCCACTTGGCGG